GCTGGTTTATGTGTACTAAGCATCTGTTCTGTTACAGGTTTAAACCAGTTTCTGATCACTTAAACCGGTATATATTAACGTCTGTCTCTAGCCTGTAAGTACCCCATGAATTCAGCTAACAAGATGAGGAGCAAAGTGAAATAACTTTTCTCTATCCCCCTTCTCTTGATCCCTTGAGCACTGGAGATCAGGGTGACCTTAGCTTTTCAGTGGGGTCCAACTCAGCTATCATTTGCTACTGCTGATGGTGCATGGTTTGCAGAACAAACCTTGGGCATTGCCTGAATGTCTGTTTTTTCATACAGTGGTTTTTTTCCTCTCTGTTTAATTAAGAGCAGGTTTTCATCATTTTTCTTTCTTTGTAGTGAAACTCAACAAACGGGTCATGGGGACAATGCAAGGTGGAGACATAGAGGATGATGTAAGTAAGAAATGATGGTGTGTAGGCTTCAGGGTGTCCCTGACTGATCCAGTGCTGATGGCACTTTAAAGCAGTGGGCCTTCTCCTTCAGCCAGAGAACAGAGCTTCATCCCACAGGCATCCTTTTCCTGCTCTCCCTTCATATGCTCAGACCAGTTCCCTCTCTATACCTCGTGCACGCTCCAACACGTACACACACACACACACACACACACACACTTTTCTTTCTTTACCCTGTTTTGTCTCTGTGAATGGCCCTCGGGTCTAGTCGCATCCTAGACTTGTCAGTAATCTAGTGCCACACACTCCCATTTTATGAGCATCCAAGTAGAAGGGTGGGACAGGGGGAAGCAGATGAATGGGTGGAGATTTTAATCATAATCCAATACAGGGGTGGGCAAAATGCGGCCCGTGGGCCAGATGCGGCCCACCAGTCCATTCTATCTGGCCCACGGGGACCCTAAAAAATTTAGAAAATGAATATATTTCTGCCCCTGGCTGCCTGTCATATGGCCCTCGATGGCTTGCCAAAACTCAGTAAGTGGCCCTCCACCCAAAATAATTGCCGGCCCCTGGTTTGAGACACATTTATTTTAATAGAACACTTGTCTCTGAATTCCTTAAACTGCTAGGAGAATCTTATCTCTGATCTGCGTTAGGAGAAAGCGAGTGTTTAATATTTTTGCCCTCAGGAATTCAAGTTGCTCTGGGGAGGAGAGAATTGAGCTACGCTTTCTTTCTGCTGTGGGACCTGCTGTTCAGCTAGGAACCTCATGTCTGAGATTCCTCTGCCTCCTGACCTGTAGCCTCTGGGTCCTAGGAAGCTCCTTGCATTTTCTTACAGTTAGTGGTAAACCTAGTGACTGGGCATTGGCCAGACAAGCAGTTCTGGGTCTCAAAACTCCCCTCCCAAGTCCTCTGAAGCAGGTACTCAAGCTGCTGTCATCACCCTTTCTCCAGCCTGGCTTTAAAGAGTATGTAGCTCTTACTTTTGCACATAGAGGGTCTTTCCCAACTTGTTGTGGCTGTAGGAAGCCCTTACTGCTGCTCTCATTCTGGCTCATTGACCAGCACGATTGACTTCTTGCTGTGCTGCTGGTCCAGGGAAGAGGGGCCAGGCTGGAGAGCACCAGGAAGCCCAGCCACACTACAACTCTCTGTCCCTGAGGCTAATCAGGTCTAACTCTCAATACCAACAGGGAGAGAGACTGCTGTGGGTAAAGGTACCATTTTGATACAATTGCTGTTGAGTGTGAAAACACACTTTACAACCTGGCTCCCCTTTCCCATCCCTTGCCCCCTCTACTCTTCAAAAGGTGGTCGGGGAAACATTGAGAACACTCTAGATTTGATCACATAGCTAGCAGTTGTTCACTGATATGAAAATCAGAGAAAATGTGTGATGGCAAGGGGCCTGGCCTCTTTGAAAGAATCGCTGAGTAATCATTGAGTCATCACTTGGGAAAAGACTGCACATTGACATTCATAGCCATTAACTTCTGACCTTGAGGTTTAGTTCTCTCCCCCAAGCCATTGCTCTCCTCTTCAGTGGAGCCATGGGCTTGGGCTTGACATCCTACTCCATTTGCAAGCAGAGTTAGGATGATGTGCCCAGTGAGAAAGAGGGGGTGCCTCATTGAGCCAGTTACGTAGTCATGATGGCAGGCTAGGCAGAAAGTCCTGGCAAGCTGTCAGTGACCTGGATAATGGGAGCTGTAATGTGAGGCCCTGCTGAAGGCAGAAAGAAGGTCTGGACATGGTGCTGGGGCTGAGGTATGCAGGCATGCTCCTTCAAAAAGCAAAATAAAGATCCTTTCCTTTCCTTTTTCATGTCCATGAAATTGTTAGCACAATTCACAGGTTCATTGGAGTGAATTCTAGAACAGAAAGAAGCACTTCTGGGCACTCTCAAAAGAAAGTCACTGAACAGATTAACAGAGCTGGTTAGGTGTGTTAGTCTGAAATCCAGCAGAAGAGAGGGCAAAGAAGCACCTTGGTGATTATCTAGTTCAGAGAGACATAAGCTTTTGTAGTTAACATGCTTTGTCAGGTGCTAGGAATGGACCTGCCCTAGTTTCTACCTGTCCATATTAAGAAAAAGCCTTCTCTGTCTCTCCTTGAACATCAGAGGACAAGGAATAGTCAGCTAGGCTGAGCTTAAAACACAGTTTTACTCTATTTTGCTATTTTCTCAGTTTTAATAAAGTTCCACAGCTCTTTATTTCATAGATGAGGAGATGAAAAACAATAAAGGTTTCATACTAAGCTTAAAACTGCTATCTATACTGTTCCACTTAATTTTTTCCACCTCACTTAGATGGAGAAAACATTTCAGAAAGTAACTGGGGAGATGAATTATGTATTGTACATGCTTGATGACTTGGAATCACAACAAATTGGATAAAGATGTAGATCTGGAACCTTTAAAATCCTCCCTGTCATTTTTCCTAGAGTTTAGCCAGGATGTAATATCTTCCTGTTAGACCGTCAGCACAGGATAACCTCTGAACAGTATAACAGTGTGCCAACAAGACAGCAGTCGATACTTCTATGTTAAAGCTTTGGACATGTGATTGGGACCTTTCCTGTAGTTCAGAAGTTATTGTCAAAATGCTATCAGTCCGGTCTGCAGTGTGGTTCAATACTAAATCCATGGCTTTTTAATAGATTCAGAGTTCAAGGCTAGAAGAGACTATTAGACCTGCTTTTCCTGTCTATCGGAAGTCATAAATTTCTACCAAATTCCCCTGTACTGAGCCTACTAACTTGTATTTGGCTAAAACATATTTTCCACAAAAGCAGCCAGTCTTGGTCTGAAGACTTCATGAACTACAGAATCCTCTTCCTTTGTTTACTTGCTCCAAAAGTAAATCGCCCTCCTTTAAATATTTGTATCTAAGTTCCAGTCTGAATTTGTCTGTGTTCACCCTGTGGCTGCTGTTTCCTGTTATGCTTATTTCCTAGATTAAAAAATCTTTCCGTGTTCAGTGTTTTCTCCCCATGAAGGTACTTCTGCACCATATCAACACAGATCTCAATTTTCTTTATGATAAGCTAAACAAATTGAGCTGTACACATCCTGAATGCTCTTTGTAAGTCTCATCAGCAGGCAAGGGACTGCTGTAGAGTTCCTTATGTCTGCCAAGATAAGCTATTTCACTTAACTGGATGTGTGACCCAGCCTATGGAACTGTTGCAGTGGTATCAGGTAGCCATGGAAAGCCAGGGCCTGATTCACCACAGTCACTTCAATGGAATTACTCCGGAGTCTCACCAGTATGTGGTAAATGTATGTCATAGACATTAGCTGAGCGGAAACAGTCACAGAGATTTAGGAAGGCTATAACCATTGTGGCTAGGGACAGACATTCAAAAAGCCTGAGACTGAATTGATTTAATCTTTGCAGGTTAGTCTAACCTGGCTAGGCTAACCATTGTAACCGTTCAGACGTCCCCTCTGGACTGAAGAAATGCAGGCACATGCCTGCAGTGGCTCAGACTAGAAGCAGCAGCGGGACACTAGAGCAGCCTTCCCTTCCCTTCCACAGTACTAAGATGGTGAGGGGGGCAGGCCTCAGCAGAAGGCTGTGATTAGGGAGGGGTTCCCCCACAACTCCTGGCTGTTGATAACAGAGAATTTAGTTACACAGCAGAGAGTTACACAGGGAATTGTTAGCATTTTTCAGCCCATCAAACAAAACAACAGCCTCTCTCATTAGTTCAAGCTCTTCTTAAACAACTTTTTCCAAGGAAGGAACAGAGGAACATTACCAGCTACCTGTTGATTAGCTCCAAAAAGCCCTAAGCCGTCACTGTCTTGTCTGCCTTTGTTCTGTCTCCCACAACACGGATCATAGCCAGCATGTGGTATGCTAGCTAATGTTGAGAGGTTTCTCTGTAAGGCAGAGGGGAGATTCCCTGCTTGAGCAGGAGGTGGTGCAGGGGAGGAGGTGGGGGGAGCAGGAGGAAGCCAGGCAGACCCTGATGTATCAGCAGTCTCTGCCAGAGCTGCAGCCAGGGAGCAGAGGGGAGGGGCCAGCCCTGCTAGGCTGGAACAGAGAGCACAGCCCTGCCCAGAGTTGCAAAGCATGTGGGATGCTGGAGGGCTCTGATTTAACTTAAGCCAGAAAGGGGACTGGGACAGACATTGCATAAACTGGTTTAACCCAAATCAATTAAATCTGATATCTCAAACTGGTTTCAGCCATTTTCAAGCTGGTTTATGTGTACTAAGCATCTGTTCTGTTACAGGTTTAAACCAGTTTCTGATCACTTAAACCGGTATATATTAACGTCTGTCTCTAGCCTGTAAGTACCCCATGAATTCAGCTAACAAGATGAGGAGCAAAGTGAAATAACTTTTCTCTATCCCCCTTCTCTTGATCCCTTGAGCACTGGAGATCAGGGTGACCTTAGCTTTTCAGTGGGGTCCAACTCAGCTATCATTTGCTACTGCTGATGGTGCATGGTTTGCAGAACAAACCTTGGGCATTGCCTGAATGTCTGTTTTTTCATACAGTGGTTTTTTTCCTCTCTGTTTAATTAAGAGCAGGTTTTCATCATTTTTCTTTCTTTGTAGTGAAACTCAACAAACGGGTCATGGGGACAATGCAAGGTGGAGACATAGAGGATGATGTAAGTAAGAAATGATGGTGTGTAGGCTTCAGGGTGTCCCTGACTGATCCAGTGCTGATGGCACTTTAAAGCAGTGGGCCTTCTCCTTCAGCCAGAGAACAGAGCTTCATCCCACAGGCATCCTTTTCCTGCTCTCCCTTCATATGCTCAGACCAGTTCCCTCTCTATACCTCGTGCACGCTCCAACACGTACACACACACACACACACACACACACACTTTTTTCTTTCTTTACCCTGTTTTGTCTCTGTGAATGGCCCTCGGGTCTAGTCGCATCCTAGACTTGTCAGTAATCTAGTGCCACACACTCCCATTTTATGAGCATCCAAGTAGAAGGGTGGGACAGGGGGAAGCAGATGAATGGGTGGAGATTTTAATCATAATCCAATACAGGGGTGGGCAAAATGCGGCCCGTGGGCCAGATGCGGCCCACCAGTCCATTCTATCTGGCCCACGGGGACCCTAAAAAATTTAGAAAATGAATATATTTCTGCCCCTGGCTGCCTGTCATATGGCCCTCGATGGCTTGCCAAAACTCAGTAAGTGGCCCTCCACCCAAAATAATTGCCGGCCCCTGGTTTGAGACACATTTATTTTAATAGAACACTTGTCTCTGAATTCCTTAAACTGCTAGGAGAATCTTATCTCTGATCTGCGTTAGGAGAAAGCGAGTGTTTAATATTTTTGCCCTCAGGAATTCAAGTTGCTCTGGGGAGGAGAGAATTGAGCTACGCTTTCTTTCTGCTGTGGGACCTGCTGTTCAGCTAGGAACCTCATGTCTGAGATTCCTCTGCCTCCTGACCTGTAGCCTCTGGGTCCTAGGAAGCTCCTTGCATTTTCTTACAGTTAGTGGTAAACCTAGTGACTGGGCATTGGCCAGACAAGCAGTTCTGGGTCTCAAAACTCCCCTCCCAAGTCCTCTGAAGCAGGTACTCAAGCTGCTGTCATCACCCTTTCTCCAGCCTGGCTTTAAAGAGTATGTAGCTCTTACTTTTGCACATAGAGGGTCTTTCCCAACTTGTTGTGGCTGTAGGAAGCCCTTACTGCTGCTCTCATTCTGGCTCATTGACCAGCACGATTGACTTCTTGCTGTGCTGCTGGTCCAGGGAAGAGGGGCCAGGCTGGAGAGCACCAGGAAGCCCAGCCACACTGCCCAGGACTGGCTGAGGAGCTCTGCACACCTACCATTCCTGGATCTCACTCTCAGTTCTGTGCTGTCTCTGTCTCTGAGACAGAAGCAGGAGTTCCTAGCTGGGAGGTGAAGCTGCACTGAAGTAAATTATTTGGGCTTAAAAAAGCCTTTGACAAAATCCCTCACAACAGCCATTTAAGGAAACCAGCCCTGGGATGAGAGGCAAAGAGCTGTCACAGAGCAGAAGGTGCTTATGAGACAGAAAGCAAAGAACAGGGTAATTATCAATGGGTAAATATTAATGGGTAATTATCATCCTGGCAGGTGCCTCAGGGCTCTCTAGAAGTGGTAGTGCTGACTATCCTGGTGATTCACAGATCTGCTCCTCTGATCCATGTGTTTGTGACCCCTGCACTTGAGCACTAGCTGGCAGCAATTGCAACACCCCATGTGCTTGATGACAGGTTTCTGAGCACATTGGCCTGGCTCTCTGTCCCATCTCCCCATTAAACAGAGTATAGGTTAAGGTATAGGGATCCATTGTAGCATTCAAAGCTGATGGCAGATTTGGCTCTCACTATCTAAGGGATGCTCTGTCTGACCAGGATTTCCCACAATGACCAGGTTCCACAGGGACACTGAGGCCATTAACTATGGGAGAAAGACCTGAACTGGGAGCAGAACTTGTGCTGTGGAATTTGCTGTGCAAAAGGAGAAGGTGACCAAGGACTTTCTGACAAGCACAACTTGGTGCAGACCTGTCTCTTTGCCCTGTCTTTCTGCTCTTGGCTATTCCAGCCATTCTCCTGCAGGCAGAAAGGAGAGAGCTTATGCCTGCTATGTCTCTACTGATTGTTCTGAGGGCTCTCAAATACCATAGCAAGGAGGGAGTCCAGGTCCCCAGCCTGACAGGACAGCACTCAACACCTTTCTGCTCAGGGCCCAGTGGAACCAGGAGCAGAGTGATCCCTATACATCTGCTTTCTGGGAGGTGTCACCAGGCTTTGTTCACTCTTTGGGTGCAGACAGAAGTGACAATTTTCACCAGATCTGATCACAGAAAGCAGTTTGTAGTTGTGACCAAACACAAGTGCATGGCTGCAGACAGCTTCAAAAATGGCCGATCGAGTAAAAATCTGACCCCTCATTGCATGAGGTATCAGATAAAAAACATTTCAAAATGTAGCGTCTTTTGTAACTTGTTTCTGCAGAACTCCCAGCCTGAATCTGTTTTCAGAATGGGAGAGGCGAAAAGGAGCAGCAGGAGTTCAGTCTGGGGAGGTTTCAGCCTCTCCTGAAGACTGGGGTGTGTATTGAAGCCCCGCCCCCACACGCACAGTGGGGGGGCTCCAATTCACCCACCCCACCCTTCAACGCCAGCTGAGGAGCCCCAGAAATGAGCTCCCTTGGCTGCTGTTCCCCCCTCCCATTCTGAAAACAGTGCATGCTGACTGAGTCTGGATGCAGGCTCCCAGCCCCAGCTAGATTGCTCTGCCCCTGGAGCCAGCAGCGAACTTCTATTTGGTCTGGGGTAACGCGGGAACTCAGAACTCTTTGCAGAAATCATTCTGTGTTACAGCTGGGAGCTGCACTTTTTTGTTCCTGGCTTGAATTGATTTATTTAAGGTTGTTTAAAGCTCTCTGGGGAATGACTCATGCTTTTTCCATGTGGTACAGAGAGTCCATTCCTGGGAAGGAGGCTGCTGTGGTGACATCCCTGAATACCCACTCTCTAGCCTGTCCCCATCTTGTTAGACACATGCAACACCCTCTGATATCAGCAGGGTCAAGGAGAGAGACAGCAGCTACAGTGACTTAGGAGACAGTGCCTTAGGAGCTGCCAGCGCTCAGAGCCTCTCTGCTAAATTTTCAACTCCCAGAGGGCTCAGTCTGAGTCTGGTTGTATTCCCTGATCTCAATGTGAGGTGGCTTTTAGGAGCTCAGTAGGCTTTGATGAGGGCTTATTACTGTGGGACAGAGCTCAGAGGCCCTTACTCAGCAGGCTAGGGCTCAGATGCCTTAAGCTGCTTCCATCCCAGCACTTCAGACTGAAGCTCATTGAAAAAACCTTCTTTCCATCCCAGTGCTTCAGGGTCCATCCCTGATGGTGTGCAGCTCCCCATCTCCCAGGGACTGGTCCTCACAGGGCCCCTCAGAGGCAGTTGTCAGTCCCCTTTTACATGTGGAGACCCAGACTTGCCTCAGGTTGCCCACCAGGCCACTGCCAGAGCTGGGTATGGAGCTGAAGCTTCCTGGACCCCAGACCATTGCCTGAATTAAGACAGATCTTCCTAAGGCTTCAAAAGTTCGGCTCAGCCCCTCCATACAGGAGCAGAGGCTCCCTTGAGCACCCCAGAGTCCTGCAGTGAGGCTCAGGGGACTAATTTCTTCTCAGCCAGTGAAGGTTTAGATTAGAAAAGTGTTCTTTATTCTCCTTCCTCTGCCTTATCTTGTGATGGCCGGAACCAGATATGGGCTACTGGATGTGTGCCTCCTTCAGGACAGTGGGACTGCCCCTACTCATGTTCCCTTAGCCTGTGGTTGCCTGGTCTCTGCTCCTTCCCCTCCCTCTTGCTGCAGTCTCCATTCCATTCTGCCTTGTGTGCGTGTCTTGCTCCATTCTGTTTGCAGCTGCTCCAGACAGGAGAAGCCCAGGGTGAGTAGGGGCCACTTCCCTGGAGGCCCAAGCCCTGGCAACAGCCATAGCAGGCTCCAGCAATAGCAGCCACCCAGAGTTGTGGCGACCCAAGGCTATTGGTCTCTCAAGGCAGCCTCAGCAGCAGTTGCTTCAGCCGCCATAACTCTCCCCTCTGGGTGCACATCCCAGCAGATGCCCAGTGCTCCCAACACTGAGTGACCCAGTAGGGTCAGACTCAGACTGACAGAAGTCAGCAAACAGGAAAGGAAACCAGAAAGAAGGTCAGGCAGAGCAGGCAGGAAGGGGAGTTCAGTGCAAGGACAAGCATTGGCAGGAGGGAAAAAGCTACAACTGGTGCTAATGGCTGTGCCAAGCAGCCTGACTGGCCTGCCTGGGCCCACCCCAACCCCCACCCTGTATCAAGTTAGACTGTAATGGTGTTTACAAAACTTGCTTTTTACACTGTTTAAAGTGCTTTTTTGCCATGACTTACCAGAAGCGCACAGCTCTACAGCACTTTAAAAATGGGTGCCACACTTTAAATAAACCCTTGTTAAATGAGGTATTCAATTTGAAGCGCTGTATTTTATAGCACTTCAGCAACCTACAGTGCTTTAAATAACTTCTGTACACTGGAGCCTGCCCAGAGCCACTTCTCTGCCAAGCATCCCCTGCCTACTAGCCTGGAAAGTACAGGGAGACTTGAAGGCTCAGAGAGACCCTCCCTCCCCCCGCCCAACACTGCGCTTCTGTCATGTTTAAGAGCGCTGCAACTCTATAGTGCTATAAATAGTGCTCTAAATTACAGTGCTGTAAAACTTGCATGGAGCACTTCTGTACACACCCTAAACTTCTCAGAGTAGGGCCTGTGCTCCCATCCATCTGTACAGTGCCTAGGTGGCAGCACCTGCAGTGTCAGCCATCACTTTTGTACATGGACTGGCTCCTCCTGGCCAAGCCAGAGTAGGGCATGTCTGTGAGAGCAGACTTGGCCTTCAGGCCCATTGCTCTGGACAGGACTTTGGCTGCCTGCATTAGGGGTACTGCTGGGAAAGGTGAGGAGCCTGGGTTCACCAAGCTGCTGGCTGCCCTGCACCAACAGAGTGAGGCCTGTCCATGCAGCTTTCCTGGCCCCACTGACCCTTTTCTCTGCCCAGCCCACTCCCCACAGCTCATGTGAGCTTGCCCAGTGTGGAAGTAGATGCTTCTTCCCTAAGAGTCCATCTCCAGGCAGGGCTGAGCTGTTTATGTTGGCCAGTCTACAGGTCTCTTCCTTGAGTGCACATCAGGCCCCTCAGCAGTGTTGTCCATTGGAGGGGGTTAAAGTTGGGTTCAGACCATGTCTGTGTTCCCAGCATGCTCTGCTGTGGAGCATTGCACCTTGGCTCAGAATTGGCACACTGCACTCCTCAGCCTCCACGTGGGCCTGCTGCTCCTTTCCCTGCTGCTCTCTTCTTGGTTGTTTTCTGTTCTCTTTTCTTTTTAATGTTTTTTTCTCTACTTTCCACCTCCCATTACTCTTCCCACTCGTGCTCTCCAAGCAGGGATCAACCCAAGCCCAACCAGGTAAACACAAGCGCTCCAGGACCAAGGTGCAGGTGGGTTTCTCTTATGCCTTTCGTCTCCTTCCTTTGTCCTCAGGTTCATAGGGGCTCCTTCTGTGGTCCTGCTTCTCATCAACTTGGCTTCAGCCTCAGTAATGAAGGCTGAAGCACCTCAGTGGAGTAATGAAGCACCTCAGTGG